CTAGAAACCAGGGACTGGGAGGCTAACAGTTGCCCTCTTGGGCCCTGCTGGGGCCAAAATGCAAACTGAGATTCCAGTGTCCCAGAAACCACCAGAGCCATTGGTCCATTCAGTACAAAAACCAGGTCGCTCCCCACCCCCCTACCACCGGATTGACCACCAGCCTGGGCATCAACTCGCCAATCATCTGGCTGCTCATGATGAGTGGAGGCCAAGAGCAGAATGGGGCTTAGCAGGAGATGGGCTGGGATGCAAGGAGTGCTGAGAAGGGACTTAGCGGCCTGGGTAGCGGCAATACTTTAGTGCAAATGACATTATCCTAGCCAGAGAGCCCCTGGCCAGGGTCCCTATGAGAGGAAGAGAAGGGGGGGGGGTTAGAAATCGGGAAAGGACACAGGAAGAGGAGGCAGGGGCCAAAAAACACACATTTCCCCAACTTCCCAATTTGGCCCAGGGCCGGGCATCAGAGCCTCCCAAGCCAGGAAGCCAGGCTGTCTTTCCAGCCTCTTTTTGAGACAGGTTCCTCTCCAGCCATTCTCCCAGTGTCCCAGGAAGGGCACGTCGCCCACCTCCGTCCTACCACCAGGCAGGGGGGATTCAGCCGCTGCAGGAGATGGAAAGAATGAAGCGGATACCAACTAGAAAACAGAATATCATTCCATGTAATTAAATGGCTTTCTGGAAATGGGTCTTTTTTTCTTCCTGTCTGGCAGTTTTGCAGAGAGAGTCTCGACTCTCCCTAACAAGGCTGACTCGCTTTTCTGCCTCTGGGCTGTCTGTATACAAGAGCGGGCTGCCAAGTAGAGACCTCAGGAAGCCTCTGGAGCCAGGGGGTGGAGTGAACCGGCCTGCTCTCTGCTACAGAGCAGAGCAGGGCCAGGGCCTGGCCTCTGCCTCAGCACCCCTCAATTACCAGAGAAACTACTGGACTCTGCAAACACTTTGCAAGTCTTCGGGGAGGGCCTGGACCTGTGATTTTTGGTATAAAGGACTCTTGGGGGAGGAAATTCCCTTTACCAAGGCAGGTTGGCACATTCTCAGCAATTTGGAGGCTTAGGGTCTAGATATGAGTTCAGATAGGAGCTACCAGCTGGAGCCTTCCCCCTGGTGGCTCATCCCACCTGGCCCCACCACGTTCCCTCTCTCAGACAGTAGTCTCCCTCTCTTGCCATTCTGGGGTCTTCACTAGTGGGCTCTCAGGGCCCAGGGGCTGTGTGGTATCCTGAGCTCCTTTTCTGCATGAGGCCATATATCTTGAGGACCAAGCTCTCTTCTCTCCCTAAAAAATGAATTTGTTTAAAAAAAAAAACTGAAATGAGGGCACTGGTAGTCCCTGTGACTCAGAATTGCTAGGTATAGCTCTGCAGAGGAGGCAAATCAGAACAAACTCAGGCCATTTGGCCCAAGGACGAATGTGATCCAGAGCATGGTGGTGACCATTCTGGGAGGGGGCAGGGGAACAGAGGGGCCTTCTCTGTCAGGAAACAGGGTCTGTCTATTGGAAAAAGGGGAAGCCCAACCCTAGGGGGAAGGGTTTCTCAGTTTATGAAAGCATGAATCTGTGGACTCAAGACTTCTGGATGCCAAAACCGTATCAATGACTACTCTCATGGCACAAACCTAGAGCTGGAAGGAACCGAAGAGGCCCCTGAGTCCAAGCTCCTCATTTAATAGTTGAGGAAACTGAGGCCCAGAGAGGGGAAGTGATTTTCCCAGCGTCGCACCGGTAATAAGTAGCATAGCGAGTATCTTTGAGACAAAAATCCACTTTATAAATTATAGCAGTAAATTATGCTAAAATACATTTTCACAGTATTTTATGAAAAAAAACCAACAGGATTTAGAGCTATCTGGGATCTTAGAGGTCATCTCTTTTATTATACAGGGGAGGAAACTGAAGGTCATACAGGCAGCGAAATCTATTACTTTTGCCAGAAGGCCATGCCAGCTTCTAAGAACCAAAACTTTGACCTGCAAATTCACTTGGCCCCCCTCCTCCCAGGTTCCCTGAAATCCCACTCGGGCCAAGATTCCTTGGTTCTTGGGACAGGAGGTTCCATGTTAGAAACCCAGTGGTACTGAGCAGAATGAGTTGTCCCATTGACCCCCAAATGTGAAAAGTAAAATCTGTTGACATGTCTCATTTTGAAATTCTCTCACATTTGGGGGTCACAAACCAAAAATCAAGCAGCTTTCCCCTGTGACAAAAAGGTCTTTCTTCCTAAGCTAGAGATCATTACTATACATAAAGAGTTCTACTTATACCCCTTCCCCCTCAAGAAGCTCCCAGTGGGCCAAGAAAGAGAACTCCAAATAAATTGGAGATGAGATTAGAACTAATGATAGCTGGCAGGAAGAAAGCACTTCAGTGGTTAGAGACTATCTCCAATACATTACCTCACTTGATCCTCACAACACCCTGTGAGGTAGCTGCTATCATTCTTCTTCTTCTTCTTCCTATTTTGCAGATGAGGAAACTGAGGTTAATACTACTACTACTACTACTACTACTACTACTACTACTACTACTAATACTTAGCAGCGATGCGTTGCTATTTGTCCTTCGTTCTCAAAGAGGACCATGATGTCAGGGAGGTGATGCCCTGACATGTAAGTCAATTGGATTTAAGTGAGGGAGGGCTGTGCAAAGTCACCAGCCTCACTCTCTCCTCCAGAGCATAGGAGCATCAGTAGAATGCTGCCAGGCTTGCAAAGCGCTTTATAACCATTATCTCCTTTATTGTTGCTGCTGCTGTTATTCAGAGGGGAACTTGCCTATAGTTACATAGTTAGTGAGTATCAGAGGCACAAGTCCAAGGCTCTCCCAACTCCAGGCCAGTCCATTTCTTTAAGAGGAAATTGGGCCAGGTGGTAGAAGGCCTCAAGAGCCATGCTAAGTAAGGAGCAACAGAAGATTGCTATGCAGGGGAATAGTCTAAGTCGTGGGGACAATACATGAGAGTCAAGAGCCCTGGGTGCCTGCTAGCTCTGCCACCTGCTGAGTACACGATTATTTGCCATCTCTAGGGCCTCAGTTTCCTCATCTGTAAAAGCTCTAAACATTCTGTGGTTTCAGAATCCCATGGGGAAGGAGGTTCAAAGAGAAGGGGATAGCTATAGCAATACCTTCCTTTTTGTTGGGATCCCTCAGCTTAAAGTGCAACTCAGTGGCCAGCTCCTCCAAATAGCCTTTCCTTCTAGTGCTCCCCCAGCCCCTTCACTTGCTAACTACCCTCCCCCTCAGGCCCTCACACAGTACTTAGCACCTTTCCCATTTAATTATTATGCAATTGTGTGTATTAGCGTTATCTGCATTTGTGACTTATCTCCCCAAAAGACTACTTCAGAGCCAAATGAGTGAGGGCAGTGATTGTGTCTTAGCTAAACTTTGGCTCTTCCCCAGTGGTGAACATAGTGCTCTCAGCACCACAAATCATGGTACACAGTTACTGTTCCATAAGAAATAACAAAGATGAGGAATTCAGAGAAGCATCAAAAGACTTATATGAACTGATGCAGAGCAAAGTAAGCGGCCTTAAGCAAACAGTATACACAATGACTACAATCATGTAAATGGAGAGAATACAATAAAACTGAATGTTATATAAATGAAATGACAAAATTTGGTGCCAGAAAAGAGATGAGAAGATGTACCTCCCTCCTTTCATTCAGAAGTAGAGACTACATGTGTAGAATACTGTAGAAGCTATCAGACATCATCAATATGTTTGTTGGTTTTGCTAAACTGGGCTTGCTTGATAGGGGTGGTGATGAATGTGATATAAAAACAAAAGGTAGGCATAAAACTTTTTTTTAAAGAGAAGGTCTCATAAATACTTGGATTCCTTTCTATTTCACTTGATTTTTCAATTGATACTTAATAAGTTTAGATTCCTATGTCTCAAATAGTCCCCTGTGCTGCCAATAAAACCTAGCCCTCAGGTGCTTTACACAGTCTTTCTGGATGATGAGCATATTTACCATTACACACACACACACACACACACACACACACACACACACACACACACATGTCTTAATCCAGACTTGTGATTTCATTAGTATAAGGAAATCTTGGTATGGAATCGCCCTTCGTTGATGTAGATGGGGAACTCAGCTACAGTTACCTAGGGCCACTGAGAGGTTAAATCACTTGCCCAGAGTCACATAGCCAGGATGGGTCTGAGACAGATTTTGAACCCAGGTCTTCCTTACTCCAAGGAAGTAATTTTCTCCTATGTCATAAATATGCATTTCTTTTTTAAAAGGTGTGAAAAGTAGCATATCAGCTAGTAATAGCTAACACTCAGATAGAATTTAATGTTGCAAAGGATGCATCCTACATGCATCATCTCATTTGAGTCTCATATGGCAACCCTATGAGGCCAGTCCTATAAGTGTATTATCCCCCATTTAACAGATGAGGAAACTGAAGCTCAGAGAGGGACTGGCCTCAGAGAAGGACTCAGAGACATGTCCAGGGTCATACCTGGAGAAGTGTTAAGAGTGGGAATCAAACCTGAGTGTGGCCCTGCTCCTTACCCACATGCCTCTTGTGTTCTCAGATTGTACTTGCTTTTCACATGCCTACTACCTCACAGGGTTGTTACAATGATTTGTAAACTCTCAAGCTATAGAAATGGGAGCCATCATCTCATCATCACCATCATCATCATCATCATCATCTTCTTCTTCTTCTTCTTCTTCTTCTTCATTAAGATCTTGTAAGAGGCCCCAGGCTTCCCAGACAGATCTTCTGCACTCTTCTTCTTAGGGCCTGCTTTGTCTTTTCCAGGAGCTAGGGGTAAAGATGGAGAACACAGTTCCCCAAGGGGCACAGCTGGGGCAGGCTGTTCCAATGGGATCAATGATTTTTCCTGTGCTATGATGCCGAAACAGTGGCCAGGGTTCATGTTCCTAAAGTAGCAGAATGGAGCTTCTGACTTCATAGGTTAGGGGCAAATGCTTAGGGGCAAAACAAAGATCTCCAAGCATATGAGTTAATTATAGAATAAAAGGTTATAATTCATTTCCAGAATATAGCACAAATATCATGTGTATTGTTGAGAATCTGTGATTTCAATCAAAGATTAAGATCTGTCTATAACTTAGTAGGTTATTCTCAGAGAATAGCCCAGGGGTCCGAGAAGGCAAGTGACTTGCCCAGTGTCACAAAGTATCAGAGTTGGGATTTGAACCCAGGTCTTCCTATCTCCAAGGCCAGCACTTGGTCAACTTTGGTAAAGGCTGCCTTTCCCACCAATATAATACTATACTTAACCCGTGTTTGGTAGAGTAACTGAACAATTGTACTACATTTGAATACAAGCAGCCTCATGGCCTAATGTGGCAGAATTAAGCTTTTGAAACAATTCTGATGTAAAAGAAAACCATTCTGCTAATGGTACAACCACCCTCTGCTGACTCTTGAATGTTGACATGAATGTCAAGCCATTGAACAATGGCTATTGTCGGCACCAAGGTTACAGAGAGTTGACGGGCAATGTAATGAGTTGCCAAGCCAACTTTGATGATGGAAAGAGTACTGTGCCCTGAATGGAAGCCAACACTTGGCTCTACATACACCCATGTGGATGGGTTAGGACATAACCAGGAAGACCCCAGCACATGTGTGGATGCTGTAGGGGGTGCTGAAAAGTTGTCTTAATCTTTGAGCTTTCAGTCAGTGCAAGCATTCAGATTTCAACATAGGCCCGACCCCAGTGTTGAGGCATGGCTGCCTGCATAATTTTTGTTATGCAGTTGGATACTGTCTTGCAAATCTTGTCTGGACAGCCGCCTCCGAAACTCATTGGTGGTGAAGTAGTAGATGACCGGATCCAGGCAGGAATTCAGGCTCGCCAGGCACAAGGCCACCGAGTGGAATATCAGAATCACCTTCTGGGCCCTGCAGCTTTGGATTTTGTTGGCTTTGACCAGGAAATCTAAAGGAAAGCTGAAATGGTAGGGTGCAAAGCAAATCAAGAAAACCGCTGCACAGGTTAAGATCATCTTTAAAGCCTTCTTCTTCTCCCCGAGGTCCTGGGACACTGGATACTTCTCCTTCAGCGATAACACCGTCTTCCAGGAACAGTAGAGAACAATGATGAGAGGGGTGACGAAGCCCACCAGCTCCCCCACTGTCACCATGACGATGGACTGCGCCAAGTTCACGTTCCTGGTGGGCAGATCCACAAAGCACTTGGTCCGGTTGCTAGCCTTCTCATGGTTGGTCCGGAGAAAGGGGAAAAGGAGGCAGGCAAGGCAGATGCTGAGCCAGCCAGCTACGCTGATGTACAGATCACATTTCCTCTTGCAGTCAGTGAAGCGGAAGGGGTACATGAGGAACCAGAACCGCCGCACGCTAATGCACACCAAGAAGTAGATGCTGGCATACATGTTCACATACTTCAGGTAGAAGCAAAACATGCAGAGGCCTTCCCCAAAAGGCCAGTTGTGATTCAGGTAGTAAAAGATCCTCAAGGGTAGGGAGAGAACTTGCAATAAGTCTGCGATGGCCAGATTGATCATGAAGATCACAGCCCGCTTGGTCTCTTTCATGTAGCCATAGAAAACCCATAGAGCTAATATGTTTCCTATGAGACCAGGCACCAGGATGACTGTGTAAGTGACCGCATAAATAAAATAACGAAAATCTGTGTTGGCTATATCTGCTAGGGTACATGAATTGTTACTACTCATGTTTCTCTCCAGAGGCTCCCTCTGGTCAACGCCTAAGTCCACTGCCAACTGCAGAGCACGTTCAGTGACAGATAATGGATGGGTTGGGAAACCTAAAGGCATAGAATAATGTTCTCCTTTCATTGCTTCTGCTTGAGCCCCCGTACATGATTTGGGCGCTTTTCATAGAATTATGTGGACATTTGCCTTGGATTAGCATTCAGTATTCATGGATATGAAAGTGTAGTCTGTATGAGCCGCTGACAAACATCTATGGGCTTCCCTTTTTGCTGCTATGGTGGCAAGGCCTTCTGGGACATTATAACTTTTGGTTCCCTCTTTGTAGGATTCTGAATGTATCACTTAAGGACTCCTCCAAGCCCCACATGGTAACAGATATCTCTTGGCAGGTATTATCATGTGGTACGGTAGTGGAATGCTCTCTTAGGACTCTCTGGGAGACCCCCAAGTTTCTTAAAAGAACTGAGTTGTTTGGGATCATACTGGAGAAAAATACCATATTGGATACAGGTTTGGAGAAGTGGGAGAAGGGTCTGTCTATCACGCGTCAGAGCAAATTAACTTGTCCAGCTCATTTCTCTGGGGCTATCTCCATGGAACCTTTAAGGCTTGAAACCAGGATTGATGAACAACACTGCAAGGAAAAGAGAAAACAAAGTGAAACATGGAATCATTGTGAGGAAAAGGTTTAGAAGAGGAAAAGGTTTCTCCAAGGGAACACAGGTGAATTGTGGAATACTACAACTGGATACTACAACAATCCACTGATTCTATAAATGAGGGACCTGAAGTTTATAGAGGGCAAATGATTTTCCCAAGGTCACACAGTTAGCAAGCCACAGAGGTAGGACTAGAACCCAGCTCCCATAACTTCTAATCCAGTGTTCTTTCCATGTCTTCAATCTTCTTTGGTTCTTTGTTCAAAATGTCACCTTCTCGGACCTGTCCTCCCTGGTGGCCCAGGTCCTCCTCACTGCGTTGCCGAATTACTCTAATAGCCTTTAAGTCTTTCCCCTCCCAAAGGGCTTGGCCTCCTCAAAAGCCACTTCCATCTTGATATTCTCACCAAAAGTAGTTCCCTCTTATTTAATCCATCAAGCCCTCTTCCTGGCTGTCAAGGCTCCTCCTCATATGCCCTGACCCTGCCAATTCAACCTTACCTCCTGCTATTCCACACATTCCCACTTTGCTTGCATTAAGCCAAGCTCCTGCTGGTTCTGAAACAGGCTCTACCATTCACTAAACACATTTATTAAGCACCTACTAAGTGAAAAGTAGTGTGCTGGGCACTAGAGACATAGACATCCGCCGTGCTCACTCTTGCCTCTTTCTCTTTGCTCTCACTTTGCCCTCCCCCCAGTTTCCTTCCACATCCGTTCTCCTTTGTGATACTCTCAGCTACAGTCCCTCAGTTGGCAACCCTTTCTGTGATTAGATGCCTATCCTTCCTGGTTTCATTCACCTTTCCCAGTCCCATCCCCTCTACCCTACTCCTCACAACCCCACCAGAAGCTCCCATCCCCTGCACCCTTTTCTTGTACTAGTTTATGTATGTGGTCTATCTCCCTCACTTTTCCCTATTTAAATAGTTTTGGGAAAATAAAAGTATCAACTTTAAGGGATGTGCATAGCGATGGGTAAGGCTGGCAAGAAGAAAAGACTGAAGAAGAGAGAAAATAGTTGCAAGATGGGGAAAAACAAAGGACGTTGGCTGTTTTGCCTTTATCTTGAACTGGTGAGATGGTGTCAAAAGATTGGAGTACTTTCAAAACATGCCCTGACCTGGCCACAGAGACGTGAGCTGTGAAGTTTGAATTGAAGAAGCTGGAGAGAGAGAGAGAGAGAGAGAGAGAGAGAGAGAGAGAGAGAGAGAGAGAGAGAGAGAGAGAGAGAAAGTATGCCACCATCTCTCCTCCTCCAACCCCAAGCCAAAAGGGAACAGGACTTTTGGGGGAGGAAGGGCTCTTTACCCAGGTATTTCACCAAGATTTGGGGGACTCATCATTCCTCTTTCACAGGTTTCTGACTTTGAATGAAACATTCCCATTTCCCCCAGACATTGTGAAGTGTGTGCTTGCAAGCAGAAGGTAGGTCCTCGTATCCTGAGGATACCATGCATATACTGGGTGGGGGCTGTGAGCTAACAGTGAGAGAATTCTCCAAAGTGTACATGGGCCCTTCTTTTCAGAGAGAAGTTGTGCTGCAAGGGCTACACACCAGGAGAGCTGGTTGCTTCTCCTTAGGAGATCTACTACCTCAAATGCTGCCTGCCCACCCTCCTGGCAAACCTACTGCCAAGAAAACGGGACTTAATAGTGAGCAACTATGCCTCTAAGCACTTTTGAATAAAGAAAACTCTCCTCACCATCTGAGCTACAATGAACGTAAACAGTCCCTTATCTGTCTTTTAGGCAGACAAAAGACTATGGAGCTGGTTTTCTAGGGCGGGCCGCTATTCTTTGAGACTTTCCTTCCTCAGGAAAGCATCCACATTGTGAGGGACTCAGCCTGAATGAGATAATGATTTGAAGGAAGCGTCCCCATTCAAATAGGGAAGCATATTTTTTTCCCCTTGCTCTCCAGAGTTTTCCCTCATAAATCCAAAGCTGCTTCTGCAACTAAAACAAAAAATTGACCAAAACACAGCCTGCCAAGCTGGCCAAAAATCCCCCAAGGACCGAAGCTGGTTCAGACTGAGCTGTGGTCAGCAGTTATGACTGTTAATTATTAATATTTATTGATCTCTTCACCCAAGCCTTCTAAAGTATAACTTAAATTGACTTAAGCTCTGGTTCAATGGGATTATTAACCCAAGGGCTATAGCTGGGCCCCTGGCTGCAACTGGGACCCTTAAGTGACTTCCTCATTTGAAAGAGCCAAGGAACCCCTGGTTCCAAGGTACCGTCTGTCACCCTGGACACTTAATTTCACCGATGATCTAGGACAGAATGAGTTTTCTGAACTTGGCTCGTGTATGATTCCATTGTCTTTGGATAACTAGTTAATAAGAGTGAGGGTACTAATGACTGTGGGAATCCAAATTGGTGTCCAAAAGGAGGTATTATTTGAGCTGAGCTTTGGAGGAAGCTTTGGAAATCTTTGAGGTAAGACCCTGGGGTCACAGGGCCATGCACCTCACAGATAGGGACACTGAAGGACAGAGAAGTCAACTGACCTGTTCAAGGTCAGGACTAGTAATGGTGGTTCCTAAGATCCCTAGCACACTGCCCTAATCCAGGAGACAAGTTCCTCCCTATATGGCCTGAATGTGTGCATGAAAGGCTTGGATCATTTTTAGCACCAGCTGGTAGAGTTACCTCCTTCTCCGAGTCACCCTAGCTATCTGAAATAGCCAGTGTCCTCTCTCCTCTGACCCTAATTGGACATACCCTACAGATGGCTCTGATTGGAAAGGTTGAGCAGTAATAATAGCTGACATTTACATAGGGCTTTAGGCATTGCAAGACACTTTATATGCATTAGCTCATTTGATCTTCATAGCAACTGGGAGACAGGCTGGCACAGGTGTTACGCTTGCCCTTTTCTAGGGTCCTCATTTATGAAGAAACTGAGGCTTGAGGGGATTAACTGACTTGTCTGTTGTCACACAGTAACTGTCAGTTGGGGGCTGAACCCATGCTATTTCTGAAGCCAGGTCCAGCGCTATTTCCACTATGCTCTGCTTGCTGCCTCTCCCCCAGGTCTACGGCAGCCTCTCTCTACCGTGTTAGGAAGGCACAGAACGGGCTTTCCTGGAACAGGGCACCCTTCATCAAAGCTGCAAAACTGGCAAAGTTTATCCTTGTCTTCTACCTTCCCTTTTCTCTTTACCCTACATCCTTAGATATCAATTGTGCCTTTCCATTCATTGGGTCAGAGATTTAGAGCCACAAGGAACCCAGTAGCTCATCTTGGTTTAACCCCTTTATTTTCTAGAGGCCCTGAAATGTTGAGTGCCAAAGGGCTTTGAACATCAAGTTTCTGATCTGCAGTTAGGAATGTTTTCCACTATGCCACCTTGGGGTCCTTCAGGGCCTGGTTCTTACCTGGTTAAAGTGTTTTTCTCCCAAGGAAAAATTTGCATTTTGATAGGGTCTGAAAAACTCTTACTACAGGAATAAATATCTTGAATGGTGGGTTTTCAGGCACCATAACAAGCTAGGTGTGGGGAGCAGAAATATTTTGGGGGAAGGAGACAGGAGTCAGGTCATTCTCCAACTTATGCCCAACAGGGGCTTGGCCTAGCCTCATCCCCAAATACCAAGTAGTTCTTTATTTACCGAGTGCCTTAAAATGAATGGTTTTGTTTAACCTTCAACGAGACCCCGGCAAAACAGTCAGAAAGTAGGCATTAATATTGGAGTTTTATAGATGCAGGGACTCAGGCACAGGTGATGTCTACATGCCAACATAAGATGTGTTGGCTTAAACATTAATGTACCTTTTGGTTATTTGTGAGGCCAGCATAACTGTTAGCAATTGAGGTGACCCCCACGACCCTCACGAAATGAACCAAGATATTTATTTAGAATAAATGTAAGGGCTTGAGCCTTGAGACCATGCCATAGAGGAACGTTTGAAGAAACTGGGGCTGTTTTGCCTAGAGAAGACTTGAAAGGTAGATGGATGGATGGATGGGGGCTAAACTGGAGGATTTGAAAGGCTAGGCCGATAAAGAGTAGTAGAGAAGCTTCTGGTTCAGATACGAGTTAGACTCAATGACCTTTGGAGGTTCCATCCAGCTCTGAGATTCTGTGACAACTCCCTGGTTCATTGGGACACTCTCCCATCCTTCTACTGGATATGAAAGAGTGAAGGGCTTGTTTGCCCCAATCCAACAGGTTAGCTGCCTGTGCCAAGGCCATCTCTGTCAGGACTTCCACGTTCCCTTCTTCACTTTGCCTGTGTAGTGACAGTTTTTCCAGTCAGTAGCAGAATTGGGTCAACTCTTGCATTCCCTTGGACAAACTAGCACAGAAAAATGCTGGATCCTGTATCTGGGGACTCAATTTAATTTCTCAGGGGCACCGGGCCTGGGTGCAAAACTTGGCACTCACTAGCTGTGTAACTTTGGGAAGGTCACTCGCTCTCTCTTCTCAATCTCACCATCTGGACTTGATGTCTCTTCCAACTCTAAATGCATGAAACTGAATGTGCTGAATGTGAAAGAGAAAAACCACCCAATACCTGCATTTTTATTCTCAAACAGATGGTTCGCTGAAAAGTGAGCAACACTCCATTCATTTGCTAAACCAAGGAGCTTATTTGAGGGGGTTTCTAAACCTTTAAAAAAAAGTATTTGGGGAGTGGGGGTAGTGCTAATGATACTAAAAACAAAGAAGAAAAGAAAAAAAAGAGCATTGATGGAACATTATCAAAATATACAGAAGAGAAGTCCATAAAGGTATACAAGGAGGGCAGTGTTGTAATTACCATGTTAAATGTGGTGGAAGCTTAAAATGGAGACAAACTGCACATGGTATATTCAATTTCCTTGGTGGTCCTTTTTCAGTCTTTTGTAAATGGAAATGTTCATGTTTGTTGATGACTGTCAAGTCCTCATAATTTAAAAATTTTTATTTTAAGCAAAGAAAGAAAAAAACAAAGCTATTTTTCATTTTCAATCAATCCCAT